TTTCTTTCGATGATAGCAATCCGTCCAGGCCCTGACACAGCAAAGCAGTCCCAAACCATGATGCCCCCACCACCATACTTCACAGTTGGGATGAGGTTTTGATGTTGGTGTGCTGTGCCTTTTTTTTGCCACACATAGTGTTGTGTGTTTCTTCCAAACAACTCAACTTTGGTTTCATCTGTCCACAGAATATTTTGCCAGTACTGCTGTGGAACATCCAGGTGCTCTTGTGCAAACTGTAAACGTGCAGCAATGTTTTTTTTGGGCAGCAGTGGCTTCCTCTGTGGTATCCTCCCATGAAATCCATTCTTGTTTAGTGTTTTACGTATTGTAGATTCGCTATCAGAGATGTTAGCATTTGTCAGTGACTTTTGTAAGTGTTTAGCTGACACTCTAGGATTCTTCTTCACCTCATTGAGCAGTCTGCGCTGTGCTCTTGCAGTCATCTTTACAGGACGGCCACTCCTAGGGAGAGTAGCAGCAGTGCTGAACTTTCTCCATTTATAGACAATTTGTCTTACCGTGGACTGATGAACAGCAAGGCTTTTGGAGATACTTTTATAACCCTTTCCAGCTTTATGCAAGCCAACAATTCTTAATCATAGGTCTTCTGAGAGCTCTTTTGTGTGAGGCATCATTCACATCAGGCAATGCTTCTTGTGAAAAGCAAACCCAGAACTGGTGTGTGTTTTTTATAGGGCAGGGCAGCTGTAACCAACACCTCCAATCTCATCTCATTGATTGGACTCCAGTTGGCTGACATCTCACTCCAATTAGCGTAGGGGTTCACATACTTTTTCCACCTGCACTGTGAATGGTGTGTTCAATAAAAACATGGCAACATTTCATTCTTTGTGTGTTATTAGTTTAAGCAGACTGTGATTGTCTATTGTTGTGAATTAGATGGTGATCAGATCACATTTTATGACCAATTTGTGCAGAAATCCATATCATTCCAAAGGGTTCACATACTTTTTCTTGCAACTGTATGTAGCAAGAGATTCCTGCATGATGTGGAAACGCAGGTCCAAATTCCAATACGATATCATTGATACATGCAAGAAGTAGATATAGCTGGAAATATACATATTTGTCATTACCAAACATCTCAATGACAGTTAAGAAGAATAATTAAATTATCGTGGGTAGTTAGCTGTACAGTTCATTCGTAATTAATGTTAAATGTGGAAATGTTCTGGTGCAAGCATACTAGATACATGTATACTCCCTAAAAATTGAGATTATCGAATTAAGTATATCCACAGTCCAAGTAGTGGGATAACCTGCAGTTAAGAATCACAAAGTAAGTGGCATAATACCCCGCTCATCCCGATTCCTTTCAGTACAGTATTACAATATAAGAAAGGAAAGAAGGAAGTAAAATAAAGGAAAAGATAATGAAAAAGGGAAGGAGAGAAAGAAGAACCGAGTTAAAGGGCAGGAGAGAAACTGTAACGGATCACCTGGCACCCCGACTGGGTACCTCCGTTGATGGATGCTGTAACGGATCACCTGGAACCCCGACTGGGTACCTCCGTTGAAGGATGCTCCTAGCACTTCCTGAGGACTCCAAGCACTGCAGCAGACACCAAAACCACCGAACCGTAGGAGCATCTGAATGCTCTCAAGCATATGAATGTTGTATACAGCTGAATAGGAAAAACCATGCGAATAGGTTTACACTCCTAGCAGTCAAACTGGAACAGCATACAATAAATCCTCCCCCAATAATGAGACAACACTTTACTTTGAGGGTTAAGCAGGAACTCTTGTGCTGGCACACCCAGCCTGGTTTATATTACAGCCTTTCACATACAGGACCGCCCACAGGGAGGTATAAAACAACCAATCACATATCAGTTACATCCCACATATTCCCTCCCCTTATCCTGAGAGGAAACTCAATTACACATACAGTTAAAACATACTTTCTACCCAACTTTCATAACTTTAAAACCATACATCACATTCACATAAAATTACATATTCACAATCAATCCATTCAGGGGAACAACATATTAAAAAAATGGCATGAATCCGACCAGGGGTTCAAAAGTTAGTAAAAGTATCTTTTGGGCCCTGGCTGGCACATGGCTATCTGGCTCAAACAGGTTTTACAGAGCCCTCTATCCTGGAGACAATGGGGAAAGTAATCCAATTATCCAGGGATAGAGGCAGACTCCATTGAGCACATGGTTGCAAAAAGACATAAAACACTTTAAAATACATAAAGTCACCTTTTACACATAACACACAGACATTTCACATATCCCCAGATAGCTGGGATCTGAGCGCACAAAACTACCGAAGAGCGCTCAGATCCTATTCACACAGTTCAATTGCCATGGAGCTGAAGTCTTTAACTACACGAATGGGCTCCAGGGCATAGCTATCTGGGTTAACACATTCACATAAAGTCTGGTCCATAGTCCTAAGGCAAGAGGCGGGCAAGCAGCCCCCTCCAAGGACACGTGGCGAGGCCGGTTTTGCCACATTTCTCCCCTTTACCATCCAGACTAACAGGGTATCTGACCTCCTGCCGGTCAGTGCCCTGGTTAGTCCAGCAACCCACCCACGAAGCACAACCAGCAATACAGCCCACCCACAATAACTGGTTACTACAATTGGATAAAATAGCAACTTGTCCATGTCCAGGTGCCTCACCACGGCTGTGCAGGGGGCTGGTAGACTGCCTTGGTGGGTTGCTGAGTGGGCAGAGACCAGCGGTACTCTGCCCGGGTGCCAGCGCTACCACTGAAGTAGCCTGGTGGAGCCTGGTTGTTGGAGGGGGAGACCGACTGTCTCCCTTCTGGATACACTGCTCTGTGGCTGGGGGACAGGACCAACCGTCCCTACCCCTGGTGCTGCAAGTGCAGAGACTACGGTCCCATCTGCATAGTTGTGGGGCTTAACATCTCCCCTTGGTGGGTTAGGCTGCCGCTGGAGAGAGGGTGTAACAAGCTCCTCTCTCTGAACTGTAGACTGCCGCTGGGGAGAGGGGGTAACCTGCTCCTCTCCCTGACACTCTCTTTGCTGGTGGAGAGGGGGACCAACTGTCTCCCCTTTCAATATTTTGCACCTACAGCCCCCTAGGGTACACACTGCCACTGGGGAGGAAGGACGGCACCTTCTGCTCCCTGGGATACACACTGCCGCTGGGAAGGGAGGACGGCACCTTCTGCTCCCTGGGACACACACTGCCACTGGGGAGGAAGGACGACACCTTTGGCTCCCTGGGACTCACCCTGCCGCTGGGGAGGAAGGACAGCACCTTCTGCTCCCTGGGGTACACACTGCCGCTGGGGAGACGAGACGAGGTTCTCCACTCCCTGCACTTCACCCTGCCGCTGGGGATCTGGGCCGACTGCCCAGCATCCCTGTAGGGCCGGTAGAGAGACAGCCGTCCCATCTCTACCTGCCATCGGTGGGTCTTCCCAGGACCAGTCTATGAGATCTCCTACTTCTGCAACTGGTAGTGAAGCAGTGGGGACCTCGGCTGCGTTTTCCCAGCTGTAGGTTGGCAGATCTGGGTCCGCCACCCAGTTTTCCTGTTCTGTGTCCATGCTCTGCGGCTGACATGAGTTCAGTAGTTCCACATAGTCCATCTCTAGCTCTCGTTCCATGGCAGCGAAACGGCGGATGTCTTCTCCCAGTCCAATAGATCTCGGGCCCTGTAACATCTCACTTCGGTAATGAAAGATAGCCCAGTACCGTGACTCTGCTGGACTGCCAAAGTCGACGTCTTCTGTTAAGGCCTTCCACAACAGGCCAGGGCTAGTGTAGTTCTCCCCCTCCGGCTGGATGCCCTCTGCCCTCCACGTCTCTGGCTGGACAGTGCACCACCACAGTGCCCGGTATGAGGCGTCAAGGCTCAGTTCCCGTTCCACGAGGTACTCAAGTTGTCTGACCTGCTGCCCTCCGGGTTGGTCTCCCAGAAGCGGCATCCGCCAGGCCATTTGTTCCTCCAACTGGTATGCGACACCAGGAAGGCGCTGCTGCCATTGATACTGGACTTCCTCCAGGGCATCGTACCATAATTCTTTCCGAGCGATATCTCTCCAGTCTAATTCACTCTCTTCCTCAGGTGTGTGTGTTGCCCAGGGGTCCACGAACCCCATTTTCCCAAATCTTTATGTAGACAGGGACGCTGTATGAACACTAGCGTCGCCTTCAATTTGTAAATCCACGAACTGTGTCTCTGAGCTGCTTTACCTCGCACTAGGACGCCATCCCACTGCTGCCACCAATGTAACGGATCACCTGGCACCCCGACTGGGTACCTCCGTTGAAGGATGCTCCTTGCACTTCCTGAGGACTCCAAGCACTGCAGCAAACACCAAAACCACCAAACCGTAGGAGCATCTGAATGCTCTCAAGCATATGAATGTTGTATACAGCTGAATAGGAAAAACCATGCGAATAGGTTTACATTCCTAGCAGTCAAACTGGAACAGCAACCTTTGATGTTCCCTGATAGATAAGAGTTGCGGATAGATCAGGTGGACCTGCTACCCACAGAAGGTAAATAATAAAATGAAATCTAAAATGAAATCTATTCCAAAAGCTCTATCATATGTGTGTATTAAATTAGCTAACGTTTGCTTTTTTTTTTTTACTGGGAATCATGCCTAAGCCATCACAAAATGCAGGAGCCTATTCCATACTAATTGGCACAAATTAAATATTATTCATGCAGATATTTATTTTATTTAGGCTAACATAGCTGTATAAGCCGTTAGTAAAGTTTGCTGCCTTTTGTACAAAATCACAAAACAATTCCAAATGATTTATTTACAGAAGTCACCATTTAAAAAAAAAAAAAATGTAATTCTGTATTTTATTGTGCAGGGAGTTACAAATTAGACACGACAACAGAACAGGTCAACGTAGTCAAAACATTTCAGCAATATCATTGTGTGATAGACAAAACACATTTTTGTATAAATACGTATAATTCACATTTAAGCGTTAGGTTGTTATAAGAGCCCTGCGTGGTAGTCATAACAGTTAACAAATAGAGTTTGTGCATGGAATGAATGCTTGTCATTCGTGCTAGCAATAAGATAGTAAGATATCTAGATTGAGTCTGGAGGATGCTGTCGGTGGCTAGGTGTGATCTATGGTGGAGTGCTGGTGCTTCTACCTAATATATGCTGAACTTTTTAAAACATTAAACATGTTTGGTCTGCCGAGGAGAGTATGTGTGTCTCAAACGCTTGGGACTGTCTGGTTAGCCCCAGGCATTATGTGGGTAAATGTTCTGTACTCTCATGTTCTCCTGAGTGTGCGGGGGGAGTATGAGGGGTTGTGGTCTGCTTGGTCTGTCGGTTATGTTTAGTGTGGGATGTCCATTGGGGGCTTCCCTATGTGTCAAACTGGGTGTATAGAGAAGAGACAAATGGGAGGAGAAACTTAAAATAGGCAAAATAAATAAAATTCTATAGCTCATTCAAGTTTGAGACAGTCCTGCCGGTTTGTACAGCCCTATGAAGCTGCGTGGTGTGAGAGTCTTTAGTCCCATTTTCCATGTCTGGTGTCGGCTGCTGCGCTTCTCTCGGGTAAAAGGAGGCAGGGGTGAAAAGGGTAGGTTAAGTCAATAACAAAGTTTACTTATCGAGTTTAGGAGAGTAGGTAGTCCGTGGTGATGGTAATAGGCCAGTGAGAAAAAGGTTGGGAAGGGCAGGGTTTCTCTGCCAGCTGTCTGAGTTGCCTCAGGTGGTGTTTGTTGTCTGGGGTTCCCTCCCCGGCTCCCGTGGAACAAATGGACGGGTAGTAGGCATTGGTGGTAGCGCTCGATCCTCCGTTAGCCATTGAGTCCCCAGAGAGGCCCCAACACCGGCAGAAGTCCCCTTGCTCCCTGTATGTCATGTACTGGATGTGCAGCATCGCCATATTGTACCTGCAGTGTGTGTGGCGCTCTCCATCTATACGGATGTTGTTTGCCCTCAGGAGGGCCGTAAAGGGCTGGAGAGAGCGGTGCCATGTGAGTGTGTTCCCCGATAGATCTGTGTAGAAGGACAGCGCCATTCTCTCGAAGGAGTATGGAGAGTGATTGCGCACTGCGTTGAGGACTGCGGTTTTATCTTTGCTCCTCTTGAGACCGGATGATCTGGTCTCGTGGTGCATCTGCCGGGGCCTTAACCGGTTTGGGTATGCGGAACAACCCTTCGATCTCCACCGCTTTTGCTTGTTTGGGTGGTAGGAGCGTGTGGCGGAACCAGCCTCGCCACTGGGCATTGGTGAAGACTGATTGCCAGCCTCCTGCCATGTGACTATGGCCCCTGGGATGTATTGCCTGCTCTCCTGTACTGCTGAGGATTGCTACCAACTAGGTGGATTTGGCTATGGAGCTTGTGTAGTGCCCTCTGTTGGTAGCAACAGAGGGCACTGGTAATTTGCATATTCAGGGAGATTTGCATATCGCTAATTCTGCATGCAGGAGAGACATTTTGTGTTAATTATGGTCTTCCCCACCCATTTATAAATATGTAATTATGGCCTTCTCCACCCATTTATAAATATACTCATTGTGTCTTCACCTTGCTGATGTTTCATTTTGGGTTTGTATTAAAGGGTTTTTGGCCCGTTTATCTCCGTTTTTGTGGCTTGTTGGTGGAATTTTTTTTAGATAATATCACTTGAAAAGCTTTTCTAACCATAGTGAATTATTTGAAACCCGTATTAAATTGAGGTCAAAGTCATATATTATCAAATCTTTATTTATTAGTCTTGCGATGTTCTGCTGGCAATATTGAGAATTTAGTGACAAAAGAAAAAAAAAACAGGCACCTTTGTGGGCCAAGTGCATTGAGGATAATAGATGATAGGTTTATTATTAACCTATTCTTTCACATGGGCATCGCAGTGTGTGTTTTTCTTTATGTTACATCTGAACAAAGATTTGTGGCACATGTGTAGTGTTAATGAGTTTAATATGTTATATTTGAGTTTTCCTTTCATTGGTAAAATTGATTGAAGGAACATTATAGTGTTAGGAATACAAACCTGTATTGCTTATACTATAGTAACTTATGTCCATAGTTTTATATAGCTCCCGCCCTACCCTGTTTGCAATATAAATTAATACATTTAAAGTTTTACTCATCTTTTAACAGCGCCAAAGCTGTTAAACCACCCACGATGACACTTCAGGAAAAAAGGCTTCCTCCTGTGATGGTCCACTCAATGCTCTTTATAGAGGAGCTTTGGGGTTCTAATGATCATCTGTTGCGAGTGCAGTGCGCATCCAAGCTTTCCTGCATGAAAACATTGTATTCAGTGCTTTCATGTTACGTGACTGTATTTAACCGGTCATTACAGCGGAAGCGCCTCTAGTGGCTGTCAGGAATACACCCACTTTGCATTTACAGTGCAAGTTTTAGAGATCAGGACTACAGAACTCAGACCACTTGTTTGAGATGAAGTATTCTGGGTGACTATAGTGTCCCTTTAATGAAGAATGGTTAGTTAAGGCTGATAGCATGTCATCAAATCAATGTAGGTGTTTTCGCTGCTGTTGTGCTCATGCACAAACACTTGGAATGACCTTTCAAGTCCATTTAAGTGTTGAATTAGCCAAGTATCAAGTGGTTCTGTTAAAGTATTGATAACTCTCCTCTGTAAAGATTATGAGTGTTTAACTTAAGGTATAGAAACTATTTTACTGACCCGATAATGGTAAAACTGTTGTCCACAGTTGCTAAGATTGTTAACATCGTTAATGGCTCATTAGCAGATATTAATGTGATGATAATTAGCAAACAAGAGTTTGTAATGAACCACAATATGTTTAGATAAAGTAGTATTATTCACAATAGAAAAAGGACAGAGTATATAGGGTATTGAAATAATTCAAATCCCTAATCTCTGTAAAGGTTACAGGAGGTATAGGGGGCGTAACCCCTGCAAATTATGAGAAAAAGGAGAAAAAATGAACTGGAAGACCACCAAAGTCAAAGACAGAGGTGGAAAACCTATTCATTCATAGATCTATACCTCCCAAAAAAGTAAGTGTACTATATGTAACGGGTTCCAAAACCTTTAATGAAAAATGACATATATATTAAAATTATACATAACTGGCTAAAAAGTTGGCCAGAAAGAGTTCCCGTAGGGGATATTAGTGAGTGAAATAAATATTCACAATTGCTAACTAGAGTATAACCCTAATGTAAGTTGTATAAATTACCTGGTATAAGGAACGCTATTATAAAGGAAAAAACAGAAAGAAAGTAATATCTGTACAGAGTGAGCCTTATCCAGGATTTAGTATCAAAGTAGAGAGGAAAAAGGAGGAGGGGGATAAAGTTTAAATAAAGGTATAACCTGGTAGTGATAGTATCCCTACTTGAAATGGGACAGCTGCAACAACATGCAAAAAATGTATATTATTGACAACAAAAAAAAATGATATAAGTGTTAGGCTCATAACCAAAAGCTGTTTGTTGCCAGGAACAGAAAAATGCCCCACTTATATGTCCTCACTTGCCCTAAGCTGCTAGCTGTCTCCCAAAATACAGGGAAAAATAAATTAACTACCTGCTGCTTCGAGGCAGCCTAAAGATTGTCCCTATAGTCCCCACTCCTATGAGTCTAATGAGACTCTACACCATCATAGAAAAAAATCAAACAAAAGGGATGTCTAGTTAGAAGAAAAAAGAAAATAATAAAAAAAGCACACAAAACAAAAAACTCAAAATAAATGCATCGGCATTCTAAAATTGCTCGACGCGCGTTTCGGCGTATCTAACCGCCTTTGTCAAGAGCTGAAAAGTGTCTGTGTAGATGTCCGTGTTAAAAAGGTAAGTAGGTCCCGCCCCTCAAGGCAAACTGCCAATTGCCATCCCGGACGTCACCATTACCGGGTTTGTAACATTGGTTACTCCCAGTGATTCCCATTAACCAATAGGCGGCCCGGAGGAAGGGGGCGTGGTCACGTTCCGACCCACGTGGGATACATAGTAGATACATAGTAAGTACCGTAGGTCTGTAAGTTTGAAACCGCCCCTACAAAATATGCCACAAATTGGTCTCTCACTTATCAGGTGAGAGACATAGGAGGCGTATTAAGTTCTATTTACATTTACATAGTAATCCGATCGGTACGGGCAGGGGGCGTGGTCAAGCTCCGACCCACCTAAGATACATAGTAAGTGTCGTGGGTCTGTGGGCTTAAGACCGCCCCTTCAATATATGCCGCGTATTGGTCTCTCTTATCAAGTGGGAGGCACAGGGGGCGTGTTCAGATACTGTTTACATAGTGATCCGGTCAAGTGATCATTGTGAAAAATAAGATTATATTGTAATAGATAGATAAACATAACCAATCAACAATATTGTTACTAAACAAAGCTTTATTCTAAACATAAATATAAAGAGGAGACAGGGAAATTTGTCCCGATTGTGGGGCAGCGCTAAATAAAATATTATAGTCCTTCCCAGATTAGTGTTCATACTTATTGGGAATATAGACCATAGCCACCAAACTAAAGACAATATGTCTCCATATATTTGAATTGTTGTATTAAAGTGAGATATCATAGCAGAAGAAACAAGTAAGAATGTTATGTGGCTATGTAGGAGATGTAAACAATAATCACAGTTAAATATATTCACTGTATAAACACTGTATAAACGGTGATCACAGTTTAAATGTATCTAACAGAGCCTTATTTCCACAGTAAGGCAGGTACCGGAACAAACAGCAAATAAGATAATTATGATGGACCCATAGAGGATAATGCAAAACAAAAGTACTTAATATCACATAACTTCACATAAACCATGACCTGAAGTGTCAAAGACAAGAAGATGATTAAATTGATTTAGATTCGTGGGGTATAAGGAAAGAGCGGCAGGCGCACACTCCCTAGGAAAATACCCACTCCCAGAGGGGAAGACAGGTAAAAACTTCTTCCACATATTTATATACATTCCGAATATGTAGATACACCATTTCAAATGAAAGGGGAAAAGGAAAAACCTTCATTGAGTCCTTTTGGATGGAGGGTATTAAGTTTGTAAATCCATCTACATTCCTTTTGACGTAAGATTTTATCAAAATCTCCTCGTCTGGACTCCCGTTTGACCAGCTCAAGACCACAGAAGCGTATATTTCTAGACAGCCCATCATGGTGTTCTTTAAGGTGTCTAGAGATAGGGGTCTCTACACGATTTTTGGTACATCTCACGTGTTCTTTTATACGTTCCTTGAAAGGTCTGAATGTCTTCCCCACATACAGCATTTTACAGCTGCATGTGAGGAGATAAATTACTCCCACCGAATTACAGTTAAAAAAATGGGAGATTTGGAAGGAATGTTTTCCCTCACTGTCTTGTACTCTCTTAGAATCCCTTAAGATGTATTTGCACGCTACACATTTTCCACATTGAAACGTGCCCACTGGGATTTGACGTCCCAGCCACGAAGGCTGTGGACTCTGTGTACATGAATAATGACTGGGGGACAGCAAATCACGGAGGTTTTTACCCCTCCTAGCTGTAATGGTAACCCGAGGGCCCAATACATCTTTCAGATGTGGGTCTCTAAGGAGAATAGGCCAGAATTTTTGAAAGGATTGCTTAATTACATTCCAACCGGTATCGAATGTTCCGATCATCCTAATAGTCTTATTAGTACTGGAATTGGCATCAGATGTATCAGACAAAAGGTCATCCCTGTCCGTCAGCAATGCTCTTTTATAGGCTCTTTTTAAACATTTATTTGGGTAGCCTTTTTCTTTAAATTGTTGACGCAGGGATTTGGCCTTAATTTGAAAATCCTCCAGGTCGGAGCAGTTACGTCGAAGCCTGAGATATTGGCCAGTTGGAATGCCTTGTTTAAGAGGCCTAGGATGGTAGCTATCCCACTTAAGAAGAGAGTTGGATGCCGTTGGTTTCCTAAAGAGGGTAGTTTTAATGGAGCCATCTCCACAGATCGAAATAGTAAGATCCAGAAAATTCAGGGAGTGGCCCCCAAATTCGGAAGTGAAACGTAGATTATCCTCATTTATGTTGAGGAGAGCAACAAATTGATTAAATTCATTAGCACCACCCTGCCAGACAATCAGAACATCGTCTATGTATCTGTACCATGATGTGATCTTTGACATGAAAGGTATCAATGTGTCAATGGTCCTGATCTGTTCTTCCCACCAACCAAGGTGGAGGTTTGCATACGATGGAGCACAAGACGTGCCCATCGCCGTACCTCTCACTTGGTGGTGGAACTTCTTATTAAATAAAAAGAAGTTATGTGTTAGGATGAACTCAAGAAGGATGACAGTAAATTCAGTGTGTGCCTGATATTCAGCACCTCTTTTGTTTAGAAAATACCTAATATGTTCAAGTCCCCTTTGATGTGGGATAGAGGAATATAACGCTTCAACGTCCAGACTACATAAATTGGATGTAGATGGAATATGTAGGTTCATAAGAAGGTGCAAAGCCTGCTTTGTGTCTCTAATGTAAGATGGCAGGTGTTCTACATAGGGTCTAAGAATACGGTCAATATATAGACTCCCATTTTGTGTCAAGTTATCAATCCCCGAAACTATCGGGCGGCCTGGTGGATTCTGCATACTTTTATGGACTTTGGGGAGACAGTAGAAGGTTGCTATCCTCGGACAAGGATTAAGGATGAAACGATGTTCCTAGTATTATTCACATATAATAAGAAAGAGACATGTTCAAAAAAAACAAAACATTTAAAGTAGGACAACTTATAGCTGAAAAACTTTTGGCCTTATTCAGCAAACTGAGAAACCTGAGAACGGACTAAGAAACTGCAAATTTTAGGATAGGATATCCAACCTGGAAAATAGATTTATTTTTTTAATTGGCCTGTTTTGCAATTCTCCACATTTCTCAGTGTTTTAATAAAAAAACTAGAAGAATTTTACAATTGTAGCAAAAAGGGTATGAACTATTAAAAATAAATATATATTTGCATGTACGACAGGTAACTTGAAGACAATGTGAAGATTTATAGGTGTCCCTAAAGAAATCCATTTTAATTTATTAATGGTTATTTCTTTATTAACAATTTAAAACAAGCAAACATTTTTATGTTATTCATCCGCCTGCTTTAATTATACATAATTCATTATTGTTCACAGTTTACACACTCAGTCAGTTTATAAACCTAAAACAGAGGTTGTTCCCTCCAGGAGAATTAAGAAAAGTTAATTACAGACAATTGTTTATGTTAAGGCTAAGGCGATAAGAAGAATATATTGCCATTTTGGTACTCTGATAAAACGATCATTAAACTTCACAGTATAATTGCAAATCACCTACATTATCTACGGCCAATCACGACCAAATCCAGAATTTCAAAATGATACGGTCAACAATTTGCTTTCCAAGCTGATAGCAGAACTATATCCTCTCCCTAGCTATGTAAGTTTTGATATTCTATGTCACTTGTAATAACTCTTGATAGATGTTTGAATCCACCTCTTGAAAGACAAATATATGGTCTATAGAAATATATAGACAAGTAATACAGAAAACATCATGATCAAGCTATGTGTATATGGCAGCACACTAACCCCTTAATTTGCACAGAAAAGTACAAAATGCAAAACAGAAATTAGGTAGGCACACTTAACAGTGATATCTATAATGCAACAAAATGAAAAATAACCATAGAAACAGTAAACATTGTTT